GGAAGACGCTACAGTGTGTAAAGCCGTTCACTCGTTCATTGTAGGTAAAACGATACATTTTTCTGTAAAGCTAACTCCTTAGTAAATAATTGAGTAAAATTACGAAAATGTAGTTGTAAAGCATATTCTGACAATAGATTTGCGGCGATTTTTTTATTGGGTAGCACTGTATGTTTCAGTTTATCCTCTCAACTGCCCCGCTCTGAGCCAGCCTATTATTGTTATGTTAAAAAGGAAGAAGTCTTGCAGAAAAATGAGGTTTTCAAGGAACACATTTTTTATGACAGACAGTCTCGAGTTGTGTACGTATATAGGAAAATTCTAACAGTTTGTAAAATATTCCAACAGCAAGCTGAAAAATCCACTAAACAAATATTTATAGTAAGAAAGTAAACATTTGGACATTTTTTTCACTTACAAACCCTGTTAAATAATGAACAATAAAAAATATATCTAAGGATGAAATTTTTATGTACAACAGAAAATCGATCGAAATTGGGCCACGTCCCGATTGGATAAAAGCTTGTTCGTGTTTATCTGAAAGTTTCATTTTGTTTTTATTGCACCAACTTCACGACAGCTTACTTCCATGTCCTACGTTTCTACATTACTGTAAATGGTTTCGCGAGAGCAACCTGTAGTGTAACCCCGCCAAAAAAAGCGCTAGAAGTTGATCCTCTGGAGTATTGCTCGTGTTGTGCCCGATGCTAAGATTCTTTCACATAAAAAAACATCTGTAACGATGGATCTCTTTCAATACATCTCTAATATTATCTTACCACACAATTTGGTTCATATGTGCGCGGTACAGTGTTTATTGAAATGTAAATATACGACACAAATTGTAGCAATTATTTTCTTGGTAAGGGCTGTTTCCTAGTAAAATACCGTTCTAGAATTTATCACAACGCATCTTTACAGTTAATGAAATGCAATTATTCTTTGGGTTTACTTAATTAGAAAATTTACCCCTGCATCTCCTCGGTCCAGCCAGTACAGAAACTGATGAAAACTTATGATATTAGAAAGAAACATTATTTAAACGGCTCGTCTTCGAACATCCACATACATACGTATGTGTAGATACACTTTCATGATTAACGCTGGCAGTAGATGCATTTGGATCGCTTATTGTGCAGTTCTGCATATGCGGTCTACTAACATTTATATAGCTTTACGAAAAAGTCTACTTATAGTGAGTAGCAATCGTGCTAACAAAGAATTTCTAAGAGGGCGAAGGTGGCTAATTAAAATGGGACTTTTGTTGAAATTAAAGAATTAAAATGAGATGTGATCAAGTAGCGATAGAAATACATAAAAAATTAGCTGTTAAATTTAATATCATAACAGGAAATACACTATACTACAAATCGATTTCACAGATAATACTTAAAAACCACATACATAAATTATATTGCTATAGGACATATTTAATATTTGCTAAATTAACGGCATTCCCGTACAGCGTAGATATTGTCTTTTATAGCGCATTCTAAATACAAAATTACCCTCTTATTATATTATGCTGATCATACTTTGGATTAAATGCAAGATTCCATGTTTTCTACCTAAATATGTTGTTTTTCAATTTACAGTATCCCTTTGTTCCTAGCGCTGGATTTACCTGTCAACCCGCAATATGAATTACTGACAGATTTACGTGTTTTTAATTATATTTAAATACAAGTATGTTTTCTTAGAGATGATATTCAATACGAGTGTGCAGAATTAAACGCTGTAATAAATATTGTAGCATTTCGTGGCTAAAGTTCACAACTGGCATACGCAGAGATATATGTTTTATGTACTGTGTTTTTTTGTGTCTTAGAAAACAGCCATATTGCCGATATTGCGAATCAATTCGTTGAGTCGACCCTTGATCTGTAGTGACAGAATATTGGGTTTATGTCAATCTTTATTATGCCAAGACAAATATGTCAACTGTCGAAGCCTACATTAATGCTATATATTTTGTTTATGATTATGTATGTGTGCGAGTTTGCCGATGGTTGCTCTGTTATTTTTGTTACGTCATGATTTGTCTTTTGATCGGTTACTATCAGAGCTCATGGTGGAGAGCCTGGCGTTCGACGTGTTCTTGTTGTGCCCTTTGTTTTTTTCTGTATCCATTGGGGTATCCTTTCCGAGTGAAATGCTCTTCTGAAAGGTCAACTCCTAGCGTTTTCATGCAATGCTGACATGTCATTACCAGAGCAACTAAAGACGACTCGGTGTGGGATTTGGACTGGCCATCCAATATCCAAACTTATTATGTGATTCGACATTGGCCCATATGAATAAAATGAAGCATATGCTTATACTTGCAAAATTCAAAGCAAATACTCGGAGGTGTCCCTTCATACTGGTCTGTTTAGCAGCGCTGCACTGCGTCCTGTCCTGCTGCTCAGCAGCGCTGCTAAATCGCCCAGAGTGAAGAACCACTTCCCAGTATTTACTTTGAATTTTGCAAGTATAAGAATATGCTTCATTTTATTCATACGGGCCATTATATTAATTTACTTGACAACTAATTTTGTTATAAAGTTTAATACTAATTTGTTGGCTGGTTTTTTTCTTCGTGAGGTCTTTTTTTCCTAGCCTATTGTTATATTTGTAGTCGGTGAATTACCATTTTCTAAATTTAATCTTGCAATGCTAATTATTTTGGGTAAATCTCCGTTTTAAAGCATGTACTTTTTTATAAAAAAAAACGTCTCAGTAACTTGCAGAATAATCGACAACTTTATTAAGAACTAGTTAATGCTGTCGTGAAATTGGATTAATCCAAAGGTAATTTACACCGCTGACTTTTCCAAATCAAAATATTAATTTCACAGATCATACTGCGATCAAGTGTTGAGTATTTTATTTCCGTAATGAAATGATGGTGAAGGCAAATTAGAGATCCTTTCAAAAGGTTAATAATAATTAACATCGTTTATCTTTTGCGAGTCAAAGTCAAAAGGATAATAAGAAGAAATGCAAATTGATCCTGTAAATTTGTAATTAGCTATCGCACTTATTCGAAGTAAAGAACAACACCTAACTAACGTAATTCTAAATATGCAGTGAAAATCCACAACTGAACAGCCGGAAGCTACTTGCTCAAAAATAATTTAGCGAAAGCAACGCCTGAAGGTTTACTCAATCCACTACTTCGTTTTACGTCTTATAATAACCGCAACTCCTTATTCCACCCACTGAAACAAATTACTTTATTAAACTGACGAGTTTTGAATTTGAGCATATGGAAACTCATTTTACGTTTGGATTCACCACAAAATACTGGAACCGAAAAATATCTTCCCTTGCAGAACAATAAATTATGAATACTGGAGAACGTGTTCCGCAACTACTGTACAAGTAATTTGTTTCAGTATTAAACGTGCATTGAGGGACTATGTAGTGCATCAAATTCTGCATGAGTGCACTTTGATTTGTTTATCCAAATCTCAATACGTGATTGCGCTCGTGTTTCCTGAATAAAAGCCAATACGGTTGAATTAATTGCGCATCGAGCAAGGATGAGCGCTTTTCCCAATTTTATAAACGTATTTGGCTTAAAAATATCCATTTGGTATAACACTTCCTTGGTAACGATATTTTTAAAAGTTCTCTTTTAATTTTAAACGGTTTCGGCTCGGAAAAATGATACAACGTGTACCAATAATGAGGTTTACATATTATTTTTAGTTTTTCCCTATCTCAACTGCCTACTTCGGGCCTGAATTTCTTTCTAATTGAAATAATTACTTAATTCTCGTCTAGATGTTATATAACAAACACTCTTAGTTAAGAAACGGCTCCTTTCCCCTTTTTACTAGAAACTTTCTCTGAATTTGGTTACTTCCTTCCTGGTCAATATATGTTGTTATTAATTAATAATAAACATAACTAAAATAATTTATTAAAACAAATAAAGATCTGACTGTCACATTAATTAATTTGAATAACTATTGTTGTTCGAGTGCGATGTATTCAACTGAAGAAGAAGTTGATATTGTCAATTGGTATAGTGCCGGAAACAGTTTAAGGAGCGTAAAAGATTTATTTTCTGTTAAGCCAAAACAACAATATTCAAACTAATTAATATCACAGCCAGATGTTTATTTGTTTTAAAAAGTTATTTTAGATGCCTAAAATTAGGCGCTTCTTAGAAGATATTTTGTCTTTTAAAAGTAGACATAGGGAAAACACACGTAAATCTCTGTCTACTTCCTAATGAATGAATATCACTGTATTCAATAAGATTGAATTTCAACCAATAAATATCTAGTTTCACTAATGTTTAGTGCTTATAGGCAGCCATTAGTAGGTGTTACTATCGTCTTTGCCTCAATCCCACTAGAGAAACAAATTATTTCGGTACTACTCATAAACGAAATATTGTCCTTGTACATATTCACAGCTCTGATTAACATCAAAGTCAAGAAGCTTATAAGCTTGAAACATGTGTTGTTAATTTCGTCATACACGAATGGCTTTTGACAACCAAACATAAAATGGTTTTCTTCAGAGATCAGAACTAGATTATTTTAATTATTCGCATTTCAAAGTTTTAATATTCCTAGAAAAGGTGTAGTACAATTACACGTAATGGCTTCGCCAGTCGCAACTTCATCCTTATGAGTAATAACCACCATTACACGCTCGTTGAATATAACATTTTAACACGACAATCTTTCGTGATATATACAGCAATTTTTCTTGCTCTTCAAAGTACGAGTACGAGACATGAAAGTAAGCTTGTGGTTGAAAGCTGTATCTCGAAAAAGGGCCGAGCCCTGGATAATTATGTGATTATCAAAACAGAGACCAACATTTTATATTTACATATATTGCAATAGGATACGTTGCTAGTAGCATTGAATATCCAACTGGAAATTAGGTACTATAGCGCTAGCTAGTTAATTATTTCAATACCGTTTGCAGGGTTCGCTTCCCCGGATTTGTTTAAGATCATGTAAATGACAAAATAATATATTCAAATAAATACTTACCCGAAAGAGTCAGTCGCTGAAATACTCGTTCTGAAAACAAATAATTAAAGTGTCAGTTATCTGGTGAGCTTTGCTTCATCGTTGACGGGAGATAGGAAGGGCTTAGGTATACATTTTGGACGTGAACTGTTAGCTTTTGCTTACATAAATTGTGATTAATAACCAAAGTAGGTATTTCGCAAGACTTATAAATTTCCTTTTTGGAATAAATTGAAAAGCTTGATTGAACGTCGATCGAACAAAGAACTTCGTATTGCATGCAATTTCAAAAGAAATTCTAATGGCGTAACTATATCTACGTTTTTTTATTATAAGCCTTAATCACGCGCAGTTATGGGAATGCCATTTGAACTTTTTAATTCATAGGTTATCATTCAAATTGTGATTGTTTCCAAACATGAATTAATCGGTGACATATTGACATCAGAACTTGTGTAAAAGTCAATCAATGAAACAGACACACTTTTTAATCGATTCCGTTATAGAGTCTTGGAAACTTTTTCAATTAGCTTATCGTAACAAAGGAATCTACATTTGAATCAAATCTTGTTAATTGGCACAATTACAAGGTACAATGTACCTATTCTGTAGTCCCAATTTGGCGCGACACTTCCCCTTTTAATAAAGGAATTAAAATTACGAAGGCGAGGGGCTGGGTTGGTTGGATTTTAGGCAGAAGTCTTTTATTATGGCAAGAACAACCTTACGTTCTTCGTTTCTCTGTAAAATAAATTTAATATCACGTACCTCGTCTCCCTTTGAGCAAGAGGCTACGTTTATTGTGAAATTCTTTACCTCATGGTAAAAAAATGTAATATGGAGCATATTAATTTCATTATTTTTAAATGAAGTTTTGTAAGAACACATTTCCCAACGTTTGCAGGAACATCATTCTGACAAGGAATGTGCGCATATAATTGTATGCACAGCGCCCTTGTATGGGAATAGGTTTACTGGAACTTTAGACTAGCTACTAAAAACCATTAAATATTCATGGAAAATCGTGCTGCAGTGGGTTTAATTTCACTCCGATTCACGCTAGTTTTTAAAAGAGGTGGAATTAGCCAAACTCACTCCATTCTCAAAAGCCTAATAAATTCGACTGATGCATTGCTCGATGCTGAACCACATTCGAAAGATGAAAGTTCCACTCATAAAGAAAACTGCTTTACTTAAATAAGACTTATCAACTGATTTATAACCGAAAAGATACAAATTTTACGACTATGGCAGTTGAAAGACGCCAAGTTCCGGGTTAGATAGACTATTTAGTTTAAGAATTAGAGTTTGGGCCCTTAAAAGATTTGTTTACAGCGGAACATGTAAGTACCTATGTATAGGATACCCAAACAAATACGTTTTTTTGCAATGATCTCAATACTTTGTTTGGGACCTTCGTCTCCAAAGGTTCCAAAATTTGCATTTGCAACCATAACACAAAAGGATGCAACTAATAGCAGTGTCTACGGTATCCTTGATGTTTAAGCTACCCTTATTGGTCAAAAAAAATTTAAATTGTTATTTTTTGCCCAATAAGGATCTTTACTACAAAAATGGTATTCAAAAGATTGTCTGTATGTGAGCATCCTTGTCATGTCACCTTGTTCCAGGTCGCAATTTTGATGATTTTGATATGGCAGATATTTAGCCTACTAGGAACTGGAAATCGAAGAACACCTTTTCGAAGGTTTGTGATTTTGTGGGGTTTTCTGAGCAAACGTTACCACCGAATCAGATGGCACAATTTTAAAGATATCGAATTAAAAAGTTCAGTGTAGTTGGGTATTTATTGATCTCTGGAGTCCTATTGTGGGACAGTTTGAGCGAAAATCAAATTGAGCATTTACAGAGTGTTTTCTGAGGTAAGGTTATATCTAGTAGATGATTGTTGTCGAAGTTCTGCATTCCTTGGTCCCCAAATAACAACTTTAAGGATTCTTAAAGACACCTAAAAAACTGTTTAAGGCTCTTACAGTTCTTATAGATTATCAAAAATCCTGAAATAGTCTAAGATCTCTTAAGGTTTATAAGAAATCTTAATTGCTGAGCTTTTAAGAAGTAATAAACGTTGTAAAAAAAATGGAAAACGCTCTGAAACGCTCTTGAAAACTCTTGAGCTTATTGGAGATCTCTACAGACTCTTTGCGTTTTAAGAGTCTTTAAATCTCTTAAAAGGATAATAAAAACCATCAAAGTTTGAAGACTCCAAAATCTCATACCAGTCTCCTAAACACTCTTAAAGCGTATCAAGAGATTTAAAGACTCGTATGAAAAAAAAACCCTTAAAGCCTAAATAAATCTTTCAAGGCTCTTGAAGATTATTAAAGGCCTTTCGAATTTAAAGGGCTTTAGAAGATTGTCATTGACTTTTGAAGAACCCCAAAGGTCGCAAATGTTCCCAAAATCTCTGTAAGATTTAGACTTTGAATATTGTTGAAGATTATTGAAGCTCTTGTAGATTCTAATAAGTAATAACTTCGAAAAGATCAGAAAAAACCTCTCAAGGCGACAAAAAAGTACGGAAACAATTGAGAACTCTTGGAAATGAGTTATGGTGAAATATGGCGCTCCTTCAAGATCAATAAAGACCTTTACAAAGGTCTTAGAAATCGTCTTAGGTTCTTAAATACTTCTGAAGGCCCTTGAGTGCCCTTAAATATTATGCGATCAAAAATGAGTTGCTGTCGAGTTACCTTTGGAATTTTTGTATACATGGGAAATCGTACATAACTTGAACTTCCAAAGGCGACTTGACCGCCACTTATTTTTGATCTCCGGTTACTATTAAAGACTCTAGAAAACTGTAGAATATTTCATCAACCTCTAGAAGAGATTTAGGCAGACTTAAACTATGACACAAGCCCTTAAGGTTTCTAAAAACATCATGGGTTCTTAAAGGCTGCGCCCATATAAAACCTTTGTCCGGGAAGCTGTCTGAAATGCATCTTGACATAAGTTTCATCATCCATGAGAAGGCATCCTTTGCACTTCGTCAGAACCTGATCGTACAACAATCGAGTGCGTGTTCTGGATACTAGGTTCTGCTTCATATCCTGTTGGGTTATTTGAAGGTACGGAATGAACGATAACCTGCTCGGAGACGGATCTTTTGGATGGTACTACACCTGGGTTTCTCTTGATCGACCATAACACTTTCCGGTTCAGCTGCAAAGTTCCAGCACGAAATTTGCTTTTAACTTTCCGGACCACATTATAGCTGTCACGGAAACTCCAACGGTGGGAACGGCAATTTTCAATTTTTTCGCGACCACGGCGGGTTAACCACTGAAACTCGTGTACTTTTAAAACAAATCGCTGTCAAAATATTCCAAATCAGAGGATGGCCTTTTGCCACAAGCGCGAGGACTTGATTACTTCCCCAAGAAGTTCTGCACACAAACCCATGAAATGGTCATGGCCAACAACGAACACACAACGCCCTGTCAACCGCGAATCCGAACGAAACAGCATCTCAAGCGGCCGCAAGGCAAGGAGCAACACTTTTAAGTCCAAGGAGCGATGGGAACAAATGCAAGCCCAATACCAGGAGGGCGAGGATTACAAGAAATACTTCCACTACCCAGCCTGGGTCACACGCACCCACAATGTCGTACACCTAAAATTGGATCGGCTCACTAGATGAGGAACATTCTGACAGCTACCTATTGGAAGTATAAAAAGGAAGAAATTGTACTAAAAGCTCTGGGAAGTCATATAAAAGAAAATATTCTACGTATAAGGAAGAATACGGAAGCAGGTTGGATTGTTTCGGAGAAGTTAAAAGTTGCCTCCAGCTCGATTTCCATCTCCTGTGGTGGTGGCTTTGTGGACCAAACTTTCCAGAAATTTTGCAGCAGGTTCCATCTTGTAGTGGAACGGACCTCTTCTGTAAGGTTACTCTCATCCGGCGGCATCTGCAGCGCATTTTCTTGTACTGTCAATAGTTCTTCAATACTGTTTCCGATGATACTTTTCATTTGGAATTTGGGTTGTTGTCTCGTTCGAACTCACCGAAGATGCCATTGACCAAATTTCACTTTCTAAAAGTCTTTCAGACACAGGGATTTGATTTCCAAATGCCTTTATTTTCTAGTGCACAATTTATGGTAAAACAAATTTAACTTTTGTGTTCCTTAGTAAAACTGAGAACATGCATCCCACGTTTTCCAAAGCCGATCACGAGTTACATCAAACAGGGAATTAGTTTGTGACAAAATTCAATTTCGCTAATTAAGTCCGTTGTATTAAGCCTTTCTTGGAAAGTGCTATCAAAAGCTAAGGATTTAAGCTTCTTATAAAAGAAATGGTAATTGTAAATTGTAAACAGGTTTAAATTCTGCAATATTTCTGTACAACAAAGATAATTCAGAATGTGTGGAGTCTATATTCCTGTTTATGAATTATATTGCAATTTGATAATTCACAAGCTATCTAAAAATGGCCATATGAGTTCCATATGATAATTCTTTTGGTAGAGTTGAATATCTATTGGCAAAAAATGTCAAAATCGTTAATTATGCACTCATTTTAGTGGAAAAACACCGAAAAGTTATGCATCGTTCCCCAACTAAAGTTTACCAATTAGAGAAAGCTTTAGCTTAAGTACAATTACGAGTACAATTATGTTTTGAGCTCCTTCCAATCGATTAGTCAAGTGTCATCAATGGGCACCAAGCGAAGCGGCCTCACTTCGGTACCTGTTTATGGCTTGGAAGCCCAGTGACACTGACTACTTCGAGATGCGTTAATCGCCAGACTTGAAGAATCGAAACTAGGAATATGTAAGTACCAAAAAAACTTGAGGGGAAACATATTCCGAAATTTATCTGGTCACGACTTACAGAAATGGGATAAATACCTACATAACAAGTCTTAAAAATACATTAGAAAAATTACTAACGCGAATAGGATATCAATACTAACCTTCTTTTCCATTTCTGAAGCATCTGGAGCGTACCTATGGTATAAAGGGAATGTATCATTTTATAAACGTTTCATCAGAAAACAAACTTCCAACTTTCCCAGCCGCG